CATTTTCATTTCAAGAAGAGGAAGCCGCTGGAGTGTTGCATCATACAGCTTCAGCATGTATGCTTTTCCATCCCTGTTTACCTCTCAAGCACTATTGCTCTTGCAGACACTGGCCAGCAAACCAGCGACAGCTTGATTTCTGCTCCTTTAAATGGGACAAAGTGAGTTATAGTTAAGACGAAAGATTCCAAATCGCTAAATAGCTGAGTAATGAGGCTCCCATTTGACCCAGCCACATCATCAGTCTAAGTCCTATCAATGGGAACAAAACAAATTGTACAGCCGAAAGGTACTTGTTATCATGCTGGCTCTCTCTCTCCAGAACATAACAGAGAAGCTGAACCCTGTTATGGCACTCTCTCCCACCCTTCCTCTTCCGTTTTCACTCTTTCATGACTAGCTAATGAATGTAGATGGTGCTCTGGGGGATGCAGTGGTCTTATTACAGGGGTTATGTGTGCATGCTGCAAGCTCTGCTTTCCACATTCAGGCTAGAGAAAGAGGTTCAATTGCTTTACCAAAGCCTCCGCCTCAATAAAGAGAGGGGTTAAAGAGGTTTGTTTATTGGGCCCACCTTGGTTTGACCTCCGTAGCCCAGGGACAAGCTACGTGATTACAGAAGTGTTGGTAGAACCCATAGAGAGCAGGACCAGAGTGCTTGTGCTGGCTCCCCTTCTGTCTCCATATAAATCAGATGAAATAGGTGACGATCCGCAAACGTGAAAACGACGCAGGTGGAATATAAGAGGGAGGATTACATGGTTTTTCCAGCATGTTTGTGGTAAAACAAGTTAGATTCTGTGTGGTCTACCATGATGTATCTCCATGAACCTGAAATACCTGAAACTCTCACAGTAGAAAGTATGACACATTTAATGAGAGCACTTAGCTGTTCTGCATGTGGAACCAGAAAATACAGTATCAGCATTTCCATTTCCATTCACAGTCTTTATTAAAGCAGCATTCCTGTTGAACCTGCATGTTATGATTGGAGAGATATAAACTTATAGAGCATCATTTCCTTTTAAGCTGAAAAATTTCCATCATAAAATCTGTAAATTATGTAACTACCTTCTGTTTTTAAGAGCAACAGCATCAATTAAATTATTTATTAAATCAATTTAATTATTTTTGTAAAGTTAAATACGTGTCTTTAAGTCTGATTTGCGTCCCGTTATGGCTGTTATCATGATGAATTCAAAATGTAGATTTATTTCTTTTTGACTGTAATAACTGACATGTACAATAGAGTACAAGGGCCATACTAAGAAAAAAAAACAAGAATAAAGCTGTTGTATTACGAGAAAGAACTTGAAAGTACATGAAAATAGTCACGATAATATAAGAATAAAGTAAAATTATAAATTTATTAGTCATATGACATTATTCTCATAACGCTACATATTTATTCTCACATTTTGACTTTATCCTTATATGACTATTGTCATAATATTGCAACTTTATTCTCTCTTTTTTTGCTAGACTAATACTCCATATTGTCAAAATTGTCTGTAATTAACTAGTAGCTTTGTGCAATGCTAATTATTTTTAACCCCAAAATAAACACATCAAAGCCAAAAACAACACTGCCCATTTTAAAGGAAGCACACTTTTATCAACATTCAGGAAGCTTTGTGTCCTGTTTCTGTTATGTCTCTGTTATGTCCTGCAGGTGTTGTGTTTATCTTCAAATGCTGACGATAACATCACGGCGATAACATCACTGTCTTTCATTTGTATAGGATTCATCAGTGCAGAGATGACTTGATGTTTTTCCCCCTCAGCCAAGAGTTTGACTGCTTTTGCAGAGGCAGAAAGAGTGATAAAAAGTTCTTGTTATTTATGACGTGAACATGGCTTCCCCATCTAGATCTTGCAGGACAAACTACATGCAAAGCTTTGAAAGCAATGCTGGTTACCTTTGTTTAGCTTTTGCTGACAACTACTAAAATACCTTATTCTGGTCATGCGTGCAATTTGATATAATTAACTTGCGTATGTAATGGTAAACAAAAATGCATGAACAATAACTGACAATAAGAAGTTTATAACCCTTTATTTCTGTCAGCAACCTGTTGCACGATATGACAGATTAATATGAATTCCCATTGCTTTCATTGGAAAGTGTTGAGGAAATACATATTTTATTTGTTGTCATTTAACTCCTGTTTTTGCCAGAAGAACGGAAACCAGGCCTGATAGTTAATCTGGGTCTTGTGAGATAGAATAGAGTAGTACACTGTCACACTTTGTGTTGATCTCTGATGCAAAGGCAAATCTCTCAAGTCTTTCTCATGATCAGCAGGCTGGTCCGTTTTCCTTTTATCAGCAAGTTTTAAGCAGTTGTTAATAGAATGCATATGACTTGTTGATAACTACTTCAATCACCACAGTTACATGTATCTAACTTACAGGAACTACGTTGTTATCTGTGCTCTCATTTTATTAATATATGCAGCTCTCCAGCTGTGTTTTATTAATAACTGATCTTTTTGCAGCTTTTGTATTTTCTGGGTCTCCTTTTGAAAAAACCCCAAATGTAGGTGTTTTCATTCTGTCTATTAATGAGAAAAGTGTAAATAAAAGAAGATGACATGTCCCTCGCCTAACAATATTTGTACTTTCTAAAGTTTTTGTTCTTTCTCCCTATGAATATTGATATGGATCCACTATTACTGCCGGAAGGCTCTCATCTTTCCTTCAAGTTACTTTCCATTTTTCAGGTCAGGGTTGAGCTTTTTGTTAATTAAATTTCAGTCCATTTACATTTTTTCAGTTTATGTCAATATATATAGACCATTGTCTCAAGAAACTTTCAAAGAAAAAAAAAACTGTTCCATGAACTTATTTTTCACGTCTCAATTAAATCTTTCTGAGCTTTTTACTCAGTTTCAGTGAAACAATTTTACTTTTACATACTTTTTTCAAACATTACAGTTTGTTTATATTGTTATTAAATGCAAAAACTGTATTGTCTGACTGTATAAAAAAAACAAAGTGGTTTTCCTTAAAAAACAAAAGCTGAGACAAGTTTCAACACAAAAATAGTTTCAAAAATAACATATAGTTTCAGACATTTAACTTCACAAAACATCATATTATTTACATCCACATATTTGATGAAAAAGACAAGAACCTCAAAGTCTAGACTATACAGTAGATTTTTGTCAGTGTAATCTATGAGGCCACCAGGCTGCTACATTTAAAATTCCTTTGCAACAAAACTGTCATTAAAGGATATAAAACATAATTAAAAAAAGGCATTTATGGAACCCCTGATGGGACAAATCTAGGCGACTCACCAGTATATGTGCTATAATAATACTTTATGTGCTAATTTGGAAAAGAACAATTACAAACAGTAAAAAGTGTGCATTGCTCAATATTTTCTTAATTAAAGCGTTTGCTTTTTTCTGTATTTCTAACATTGTAGAGTCAGTCTGTTGCTGGTCGTGTTTGCATCTGCAGTTAATGCTGTTGCCTTCAAGCAGCTCTGTGCCATTTGTCCTTCAGTGGAACAAGGCTCATTATTTCAATGTGTGGTCACAGTATTCACCGTTACGCCCAGGGATCAAGCCATCTCTCCATTAGGGAGAATCACTTTGAAAGGTCTTGTCTCCCACTTGAAAGACACTCACAAACTTGGATATGCGTGCACAGCTGATGTACTGACATTATGTTTCAACTTTTGATGCTGAACTTGAAAGATGTTAACTGGTTGAACTACCATTTGTGCAAAGTGCAACCTTTACATGGCATTACTGTTTTGCTGCTCTGCACAGAAAACAAGATGCCATTTTCTCCCTTTGCTACTTACAAAGGCAGTGAGCTTAAATGTGGCAAAAATATGCAGCAAGGGCCTTTAAAATAGTCTCTCACTGCAGTACCAGTTTATAATAGATGCAGAAAGCTGTAATTTATTGCTTTTTTATCTCTTTGTGATGTTGAGTTGTACTTGAGGTGTTTTAAAAAAAGCCTAGACTCATATGAGACTGCCTTTAGGAAATGGACATTCTGAATCTTGTTTAGATCTGAGAGAACTGTATCTTATAGTCTTTGAAATATATGATTTAATAATAATTTAAGTCTCAAAGTTGTAAGATTTGTAGATAAATCTCAAAATCGATATGCAGAAATTTGTACAAATCTTATTTTTAGTCTTGATTTATTTTCATTCTTTTCTGTTGACAACGTTGTGACAATGGAAGTTGCTGCTTTCTGCCCTCTGTAAACTCATTAGCATCACATTAAAACCTTTCGATCAACCATGGTTTGTTTTAATATTTTCATAGTAAAGAAGCATAAAAACAAAAGTATTTATTACACAGTGGATCTTTGTTGCTCTTTTGCTCGTGACAATCCATTTGCATGTTCTCTCTGTTTCAGGAATCAATTAGTTTCTGGTATCACCAAAGTTTAAAACAGTTATGGATCCAAAACTGGTAAAAGTTTACATCTTACAGTTCATGCACTTCAAAAACTTTCTACTTAGATGATGAAGTGTCAAATTGAAACAGTTGCTTAGACTGTATTGAGCATAGAGTAATGTGAATTTTTTTGCAAAAAAAAATGTAGTCATGATGTGGTAAACTGGTAAACTCATTCGTATTTAAGGTACACTGTTTTAAAACAGTTAATCTAAGTAAAAAACAGGCTTTTATACCAGCTAATATCACATTTTTATATCCCAGTGAGAAAAGCAGCAAATATTCTGTGCAGTAATCGAGCTTACTTGAAAACTAATAGAAAATGTAAAGGGCATGTTTTTAATGTTTTATTTATTGTCTATGTATCAAATTCAAACAACATAATCGATTATCTTAGCATGTGAAAGAATAATTGTTGTTTTTCTGTTTTTAATAAAAGAAATTACATTGTTATGCCTTCAGTCATATCCTGGAAATCTTACACCAAATTGCTTTTTTATCTAAAAAAAAAAAATCTTAATAAAACACATCTGCTTCCGAAAAAGAAGTAAAATGGCAAATCATGCAGTTTACCTATGTGGCTTCGGTGTGATGATGCGCTGGTCAGTTGTCCCAAGAGAGACACCATACAGATGGTCAGGAGCAGCACCCTTCTGCACATGCTCTGTAGATCCCTCCCCTGCATTCTGAAACAAATAAGAAATAATGGAAATTAAAGGAATTTTAGCCATTTGCTAGATCAGTGACATTAAAATATTCTTCTGCGGAGAGGATCCATTAGGACACCCAGAGCTCAGGTTTTCCCTCTACAATTACAACTCCTGCCAAAAAAATTTTGGAATCGCTTCTCTTTGTGAACACTGAGCCATTTAGATGGGCTGGAGTTCATCTCCAGTGGACAAAAAGCAGGGCATGCCCTGTGACAGTCCATCACTGGACAAACAACAAAAAGGAAAACATACCAGCTTAAGAGCATCGAAAAAGGCCAAGATAGAGAAAGAAAACAAGACTGGGGGAATGCATTGTCACATTTATGGTAAAAAAACAGAATCCTTCCACATAAAGTCAACCATAAAAAGAGGAGACTAGAGCACAAACCCAGAAGGAAAGAGGGTCAGTGCAAAGTACAACCAATTCATAAGCCTCCAAAATGGAAAGGTCAGATCTGAGTTGGCAAAAAAATGTGTCTTAAGCAGCTAAAGTGGATCTTGAACATCGGCCGTTGGCCAGGTTAACAAAAACCAGCCTGTGCCTGAGTGACAAGAAAAATGTATGTAAGCGCTTCCTGTTGTGTGTTGGAGTTTCAGGTTAGTAGTTTCTTGATGGAGTAGTCGAGTATATTAAAAGAGAATAGTTTTCCAATTTGTGGCTATCAGTTTATAAGCATTGTCATTATTTATCATCCTCATTTTAATGGTTGAGTAAAAGCCAGTTTTAATTAAAAAGAATCAGTTTTGAAGGCTTGTTTCGGTACATATTTCTAAACCCACCCATAATATTTTCTACTTCTTTGTAGACATTTTAATTGCAACAATAAAGGGGGACAATAATAAACACTGCATGGAAGATATTGGTAGAAAAGGTTGAACAAAAATAAATAAGACTTATACATTATTCCCTCTCATTATAAAATACATAACTAGAAAGACGGAGATAGAAAAAAAGGCAAGAGTGTCAATTTATAACCTAGTTTTTCTCCAAGAGAGGTGAGTCGACTGTGAGATTATCAACCATTTAGCATAGTTAGTTTAGCTACAGACTACTGTTTGCCTCCATTTCACTAGCATCTAATGAATTAAGGAAAAAAATCACCAAGATATTTTTGTATTTAACTTGTCCCTGTACCTTTTACCACACTTTCCAACAGATGAGTCAGTCAGCAGCAGCTCTAGTCCTGACCTGCCCTCATCTGAATGAAATTAAAGCTGCAGTATGTAACTTTTATATATATATTTTTTACATATTTGTAAAAACAGTCATCATGTTGTGACAGTAAATCTGTAAAAACTCTATTTTCTCTGCTTTCCCAAAGTGATAAAAACAACCAGTTTTAGTGATAGAGAGTTTTAGTGCTGTCAATCACAATCTCATGCGGCTACTCATCCTTCCTCCCCCTCGCTCTGTGCTATGCTGCAGCTAGCATAGCCTCTTGTGAGTTCTCTGTCTAGTTAGCAAAGCTACCAGTGACAACAGATAAACGATTTTTCTGTAATTATAATGTTGTTTCTCCACCATTAGCACATTTAGCAGTGAGTGAATGAAGTTGATTGACAGCACTAAGACCCTCCTCCTGGTTCTGATTGGTTGTTTTGGTCGGAACGTTGTATTACTTTAGCCAGTAATAGTAATTCAGGGAGAAGCTGGAGGAGATTGATTGTTTTCACAGATTATCTGTCTCATATCAAACTGTCATTATAGCTAAAACAGCTAAAACAAATATGAAGAAAACATTTTTTTAAGTTATGTACTGCAGCTTGAATAAAATGCATCTACATAGCATTTTTTGAGAAGTCTGGATTGCTTCATGTACACTTTGCATGTTTCCTATGACTTGCTCGTGGGGAAAGACATTTCAGTAATTTTAAACTAAGAAAATATTTAAGCAACCTGCTTGCATTCTGTTTGTGGACTGTTGGATGTAAAATTCATGAGCAGTAAATATTGTGCTAGTATCAGTATTGAACCAAAAAAGCAAGGCAGTTGCAAGCCTCTGAAATTGTGATGTTTTTGAAAGGTCAGGACAGACTCAAAAAATTGTAACAGCAGCTGCGTGGGGGGGTGGGCAATTTAATTTTTTGTCATTTTGTCTTTAAAATATTTTTACCAGTTTATAAATTACTGAATGAATAAGATTTGTTTTCTTTGTGTCAATCTTCTAAGTCGTCTCTAGACTAGACTACTCTGCATCTCCAGAATGAACATGGGGAATCAGCATTCAATTTTCACTTTTAATCGAGAAACAATTTCTAGAAAACTGCAAAACAGCCAAAACACAGACTTTTTTTTAAAAATAAAAGCTGAAACCTGCCTGTTTGATTTACCTTTGACTCATAATAACTGGAACATTGATCAAAACATTTGATCAATGTTTTGATAAATGTAATGAATCCTCATTACATTTTGAGGATTTTGACAAAATGTAATGTTTATTGCTGCTTCATAATTGGTTACAATGTTATTAGCACTTTGAATTGCCTTCTTGCTGAAATGTTATTTACAAATAATCTTGACTAAACATTAAATCTGTGACAGGGTGAATTTGACTAAGCATTCTCATGATTTTGTAATCATCTTGAAACTTAACCTTCATTGATTTACAAAACAAATAAAACAAAAGATATTTACTGTTGATTAGGTTTCATATCAATTATGGAGATAATGGCAACTCAGATGAAGGAAGTCCTCTTGCAGAGAAAGGAGCCATAAGGGATATTCTATTCTTCCATCATGTTCTACATGGATACAGCAGAATCTGGACACTTGGGAGAAGCTGAGTCTATTACCATGGCTGAGGTTGAATAGGAAATTATAGATTTGTTAATCATTATCATCCTTGGATAGTAATGATGATTTTTGATGATGCATAGCAATCTTGAACACTGTTACCATGATGTGGAACTTAAATTTCTTGTGTCTGTAAACCACCTGCACTCACCTGCAGCAGGCTCAGAAACAGAACTGAGGTGCTGAAAAAACGAAGCATAAAGCAATCAATTTTGATGATCATTACTTATTAATTTCTAAATGCAAAGTGAGGGGAGAGGTATAGATTATTTAAGAAGGATCCAAAGAGATTGTGTATAACAGCCTCAACTGTACCTATGCAAGCTCAAGAAAGTAAATGGCATTAGTGAAAATATTTCTTTGAATTTGTTTAAGCTAAGAAACACAAACTCATAAACTCGTTTAAGATTTTCTATATTTCAAAAAACAAAAAATAAGCCTTTTTTTTACCATCATGGGGAAAAAAATATCTAAAAGTAGAGATGATATTAACAAGCATCACTCTTTCAAATGCATATGTTTTGGTCTGAATTTGGATTATCACGAGACAACATGTGACTAAATAAAAACCTAGGCAAATAGCTCATTGTATCTGTGACAATATGACAGATTCTGAGTTTGCTCAGTTTTTGTTTTCATTCAGTCTGTGTGCTCACATGTTTCGATTGCGTCAGCTGTCTGAGCCCATGCAGAATTAGAGTATCCTGTTAAGATCTCACCAGCACTGGCTGTCAGTACAAAGAAAGTCACAGCAAAAGAACTCCTTCTTGTGTGCCTCAGCCAGATAAGCAATAGTTCATTTTTTAGCATCAAACCAAGCATTTTACTAATTTTAGCGAATGTACTGGATCCCAGTTCAAAGCAAATGTGTGATTTGCATCTGCTTTCTCAGGAGAGATGAGCTGAACACTGCTGGCAGTAAGATGAGCTGCTGTGTGTCCGGCTCTCCATGGGCCCATCAGCTGGGATGAAGAGTATTACTGGACAACATTCATCCAAAGGAACAGGAAGATTACTGAACTGAGCACAATAGGCAAGATCACACAAACAGTGATACTCAGCTCTCACAAAGCTTGATAAAAGAACATGTGGGAAAAGAAGAGTGCAAACAATATGCATTTGCTCCATGTCTGCACGTCTCAGTTGGTGTTATAAACTACAGTGTGTTTACAGTTTCTAAAGTTATCATTCTCTGTCTGAATAAAAATATTGCTGGGTGTCTGTTTTACACACATTAAATGTCAATGAAAAGAGACAGGGATGATCAGGAGATGAAATTGCATTTCTACAGAGAGAAGTTCCTTACTTTAGTTTAAGTGCAGCAAAATCCAAACAAAAGTCTTTAAGGCTATATTTACAGGAGACTGCTGTCTGGAAAACGCTAGTGTTTTCTGAGATGTTGACTTGTGAAAAAGTTTCACGTTTATATGAGACGTAGTGAATTTGTTGAAGTTGTCATGCCAGGCCACTATGTGGTGCTGTTATCTTAAACTGGTTATCAAAAGGTGCATGCACTTTTGACCCTTTGCTTTCACATCATTAGCTTCCACATCATTTAGAAAACAGTAGCCTGTTTCTACCAAACCAAGAGCTCATGTAACATATATTGTGAAGTTCCCCTCACACATTTTCTGATTCACATCTCCGTGCTCTTTCACACTAAGGTTTAGTCACAACCTGACCAGGTCTATTGTCCCCAACTAGTGGAGACTTCTGTTTATTATGTCCAACTGGGCATGAATAAAATTTAAGAAAAAACCTTGGAGTGTGTTCTCAGCTTTAATCTACTTTGCCAGCTTATAACATGGCCAAAATTGATGAAAAGCAACAGGATAGAAAGTTTGTCTGTTAAATGAAGGGAAATGTTTGCCTGATGGGAGGAGGTGACACTTTACATCCGGGTCATGTGAGACTGATCATGGTTGAAGTAGACATGCAATGCTTTTACCTGAGAATGTGATGTGTTAAAATTGAAATGCTCAAAAAAACACATGTACCAATGTATAAATGTTGTGAGGTTTTGAAATTGCTGTGAATTATAGCCGAAGAGAAAACTGTATACAGTGTCTTGAATTGTCAACACTCCACAACATCTTTTTTAAAAATAATATGTTATAAGATTATCTTAGTAATATCAATAAGCCAAATAAAATGTTCAAAAGAAAACCTGATGAGAACTGGA